TGAGTCAGCACCGCTGGGTGCTGCCTGGAGTCCCTGATGCGGAGCAATAGGTATATGAGTTATCAGAGATATTGGAGGCGTGCCCAGCCAACATCGGGTGCCAGTTAGGAGCGAGTGCCATTTTGTCTTGCTCTTAGGGATTTTTAGAAAGTTAGAAATATCTGGGGGAGGTGAGATGCAGGGGTGGTTTGCCAACCACAGACACGCTGATTCTGTGTTGTGTGTTCTGTTCTCCCTCCCCAGATGATTGCTTCTGATAGAACATTCTGGAATGTTGGCAGAGTTCCATATCTCCACTGCCCATTGTGTAGTAGCTGATAGCTATGCGTGGCTGCTTGAAGTGTGGCCCGTGTGACTAAGGCACTGAATTTTTCATTGTGTGTGGTTTTTATTCACTTAAGCTTTAAGACACTTAGCCACATATGGCTAGTGACTGCCCTGTTAGCACAACTTCAGGGCTTTGCTACTGGGATGTTTTCCTTGGGCTCGCAGACTAGGCACGGTCTGCAAATGGACTAAATGTGGACTGCTGGGCCCTGCCCGCACACGAGTTAAGAGTCTACATCCTAAGAGCCCCAGTGGATTTGCTGGCACCTTATGGGGCAAGCTGTGCTGGCGCTGTGGGAACGTCAGGACTGCCCCTCCCTCCACATTTAACCCCAAACTGCTGGCTTGTCAAAGTTCGCCACTCAGGATTGCCCGCTCTAAACTTCGGATCTCCCCTCACCCCCGCTCCCCGAAGGCGATACCGATTCCAAAACGAGTAGAGAGAGAAATGGATTCAGTGAGGAGCAGAAGCTCCCTTCTCCCGGTGCTCCTGTCAGCCCTGACCGCTGCCACGTGGACATCGGTGCTTAAGGATAAGCGGGCGTTCTCGAGGCCTGCCGGGTCTGGGCCGGGCTGCGTGTGCTGAGCGCTCCGAGAGAGTTGCTGCTATTGTCCCGGTTTGCAGACGAGAAGGGCCAGTCTCGGAAAGTCCACACCTGGCTGGGATCGCCCAGGTCCTGCTGGTTCTTAACCACTGTGCTGCCCTGCTGTCTCCTTTGTCTTTGTAACCCTTGGGCATTGTATGACAAGTTCTCCCCGTTCCTAATCTTGAGACAAAACGTGTAAGATTCTGTGAGTGAATGTGTGATTGGGCCCTCCTGGGGACCTGGGTGAGGCTGGGTTTTCCAGCCTCTGCAGAAGCTCTTGCTTGGGTTCCTGAGAGCACAGTCAGTTTGACCACAGGGTCAAGTCTCTAAACTCAAGAGGTACCCTTCTTGGTCTCAAGACCTTGGAATACGCTTCATGCTAGAGGTGTGGCCATGGCCCACCTGCGCCTCCACTTTCAGATGGTTTGTGGAAAAGCTTCCTAGGTCTGTGTGCCCACGAACTGTCGCCCCAAGTTCCAGGCTGGATCATGGCGTCCCAGCGACCAAGAGCACCGAGGGCCATAACTTGTCCAATGTATTAAATTCTCAGGAATCCGGATTAAAAGTTAACCAGCCAGCATCCTTTGCTATAAGGTTGAATGGGGCAAAGGGCAAGATCGATGCCAAGGTGCACAGCCCCTCGGGAGCCGTGGAAGAGTGCCACGTGTCTGAACTGGAGCCAGGTAAGCCCGAGGGCCCAGCATGCGGATCTCTGAGAGCGAGCAAGTGTGCATCTCAGCAGAGACGGCCCGGAGTCAGCACTGCCAGCCAGCTCCCACTGCCCTTGGCTGCCCCTCGATGCCATTTACAAATCAGTGTATAACATTGAAGGGCAGACTCTGAGACAGATAGTGCTGCCCGCCCCCGACCCCCCAACAAATATTGCTTTATTTTCTATCTTCCATTTCTTTTCACATGACATGCATCTTGATTTTCCATCTTAGTTAGGCTAAGCCTTACAGATTTTGTTGACCTCAGAGGACCCTGGTGGTTAACCATTAAGGTCAGCAGTTCGAAACCACCAGCCATTCCTTGGGAGAAAGACGAGGTTTCCTATTCCTCTGAAGAGTGACAGTCTCAGAAACCCACAGGGGCAGTTCTGCCCTGTCTTCTAGGGTCGCTGAGAGTCAGCATCTGCCTGCCCTGGACTTGGTGTGTGGAGTTCTCCAAAGTCAGCTGACTTCAGAGAGACTCTTTTGTCAGTGAAAGTTTACTAGGGGCCAGAGGCTCCGCAGGAAGCCGATGTGTGTTGCCAGCCCTTGAAGTCTGACGGCACACCTGGCTCCAAGCCTGCAGTGCCCTGGTGAGGACGCCAGGTGGTGACCAAGTGCTGACCCTGGTTTCTGCCTCCGTGAGGTCAGGAGGGCTTCTCAGAGGAGGTGGCTTCAAGGTGGGCCTTGGTGCCCCGAGAGGAGCCCTGTGGTCGCTGTCCTGGTTGAACCTGTGCTGGGGGTTCAGTGAGTGGACATCTGAGCCCGGGGTACCTGGCAGGCATCTTTCTCCCACTGGGCAGGAAAGGCAGGGGAACCCAGAGAAGGGGACCGTGTGGAGGGCCGCGATGCAGTCAGTCTTGTCGTAGAAGAGCACGAACACCCGGGCCGTGCAGAGAAAGCAGACAGAAACGGCAGGGTGGGGAATGGCGAGGAGGGGCTGAGGCCAGAGAGCCGGTGTGCTTGGTGACAGAGGCTGTTTCCTATGAACGGCTACGAGCAGCGCTGAGACTGGGGCCGGGGATGCTCCTAGCCAAGGGTGGACAAAGAGTCGCCTGTTTTATTTTGAGGTTTGGAGTCCCTCCAGAGAGCCACACGGGGATGTTAACACAGCAGCACCGTGGCATTGGGGTCCACACCCACTGAGCTTTACTGTCCTCAGCCCCAGGGCCAGGTGTTAAGATGACCCACTCACCATCATTGGTGGTTTGCGACTCGCAGCTGGCTGATTGTGCAGGGTAGAACTGCTCCCGTGGGTTTCCGAGACCACGTCTTTACCGGAGTAGAAACCCACCCTCGTCTTCCTCCTAAGGAACCGTGGATGGTTTCAAACTGCTGACCTCTCTGTTAGCAGCCCAAAGCACTAAGGTCACTCCCCAAACCCAACCCACTGCCATCAGGTCGACGCTCAGAGCAACCCCAGGAGACAGAGTAGAACCGCCCCTGTGAGTTTCCGAGAACGCCACTATGTGTGGGAGTAGAAAGCCCCGTCTTTCTTCCACGGGGTGGTTGGTGGTTTTGAACTGCTAACCTTGCTGCCCAGTCTGTCACCACTATGTAGCAAATCCCAGTACACCCAACTTCAGCAGACTCAGACAACAAAGGAGGACCACTTAGTAAAATAAGGGCAGTCCGTGGCAGGCTTCAACGCTGGTTTGATTCAGCCACACAAGAGCCCCAGTGTCTCTATTCTTTAGCTTGGAGGGTCTCCTGAGGCTGACCCTCCTCTTGGGGACACGATGGCCGCAGCAGCTCCTGACATCCCGTCTCCACACCCTAGAGGAAAGGCAGCCTCTTTTCAAGAGGTTTTGTCTGGATTCTGAGATGCTCTCTTCCCAGAAATATCCACCAAACTTCCCCTCTCATTCTCATGGACAAGGGCAGGGGTCCGTTTAGGAGTTACTTCCTGTGGCTGAGGAAGTGCCTTGTGCTGATGGGCTCAGCTTCAGGGAGGAGTGATTTCCTGATGAACCTGCTCATGGAGCTTTGAGGAAAGCAGATTCTGAAGAGGGTGGAGGGGATGAGGAGCCACGGAGAAGCTGAGGGGATGACCCGGCAGGCAAGGGGAGAGAGCAGCTTAGTTGAAACCAGATGGCAAGGCTCCTGGGGAGGAAGGGATGGTCTGGTGGTGGGTTCAGGGGCTCAGGATAGTAGTCTGTGTGACCCATATGCCTGACAAAACGCTTTAGCCGGTCCCAGGGGAGCACTTGCTGGCTTTGAGCTTAACGAAGGGAGCACTATTGCCAGTTGGAACCATTTCCCCCTCTTTTTGTAGCCAAGTAGAGAAACTTCACAAGCACTGAGCTTTTCACGAGGCAAGACGTGGGCACACGGCTGTCCTGGGTTGCCAAAAAATAGTGAACTCAGATTTGGACATGTTTACACAGGCTGGGGAGACCCAAGTAAAACGGTTTGGTTTTGAAATCCAGCATGTTGGGTGCTGGGTGGGCTTCCGCTGGATCTGCTGTTGTCCCACTCCCGATTTCAAGGTCCCCCATCTCGGGTGGGAGCTCGGCCACCTGTCCTTTGTCTGCATGGAACTCAAAAGAGCACCAGGGGCCCAGTGTGAGCCTTGGTTTCTCTCGATTCAGACAAGTATGCCGTTCGCTTCATCCCCCACGAGAACGGAATCCACACGATCGACGTCAAGTTCAACGGGAGCCACGTGGTTGGAAGCCCCTTCAAAGTGCGTGTCGGGGAGCCTGGACAAGCGGGGAACCCCGCCCTGGTGTCTGCTTATGGCGCGGGGCTCGAGGGCGGCACCACAGGTAACATGCGACCTCTCTGCTTCTTGTCTTCAGGGACATAGCCAGGTGGAGCCCTGCCTGCCCCGAGGAAGCCATGTAGTAGATACTTAGTTCTCCAGTGCTGCTGCCACAGAAGCACCATGGGGGGAGGGGGATGTTGACCAAAGAGGAGTCTTTCCAGAGCAAGAAGTGTAAATCCAGGGCACTGGCTTTAGGGGAAGGGTCTCTCTCTCTCTCTCTCTCTCTCTCTCTCTCAGGTCCTGGTCTTTCCTCTGCTTCTGTCCCTTGGTGGTCTCCATGTGCTGTGGCATCTGTCTGTGCCACATGTCTGTGCCATCTCCATCATCTCTGTATATGTGCCACTTTCTATCTCCTCCTCACAAAACTCAAAACAGATTGAGTTCAGCCACACTCTACACTGATAATCTGCTTCGATCAAGTCAGTCTACTTCACAACGACCCCTGTAGGACAGAGTAGACCTGGCCCTGTGGGTTCCCAAGGCTCTGGGTCACACAACCAAGGCTGTAGTCAACATAACCAAGGCCGTGGGTCATACATACACAACCAGGGTTGTGGTCAACATAATTAAGGCTATGGTCAACATAACCAAGGCTGTGGGTCATACACAACCAAGGCTGTGGTCAACATAACCAAAGCTGTGGTCAACATAACCAAGGCTGTGGGTCATACACAACCAGGGCTGTGGTCAACATAACTAAGGCTGTAGTCAATATAACCAAGGCTGTGGTCAATATAACCAAGGCTGTGGTCAATATAACCAAGGCTGTGGTCAATATAACCAAGGCTGTGGTCAACATAACCAAGGCTGTGGGTCATACACAACTAAGGCTGTGGTCAACATAACCAAGGCTGTGGGTCATACACAACTAAGGCTGTGGTCAATATAACCAAGGCTATGGTCAATATAACCAAGGCTATGGTCAACA